CTCGTTCTACCTTCGGGGACGGACCTCATGGCCCGCGGGGGCCATGACGTCTCCCTGGATGTCATGCCTCGGGCCGTGACGCGCAGTCCTTCAGAGCCCCGAATCATCAGGGGTAACTCGGGTCAGGGACTAACTCGGGTTCCTTTTTTTCGGGAATCCGAACTCCGACTTACCCGACCCCGAGTTACCCCGGATAACTCGGGCGTCCAGAGCCCCGAATCATCAGGGGTAATTCGGGTCAGGGATAACTCGGGTTCCTTTTTCGGGAATCCAAACCCGAGTTACCCCGGACCCGAGTTACCCCGGATAACTCGGGCGCCCAAGTCCTCCTCTTGGGACACCCTCGCAGGGCCAGCCCTGCGGCGGAGTCGCCCCTGTGACTGCCCGCGGCAGCGGCCCCCCTCTGGACGCGGGCCTCCCCGGGCGCCCGGCGCCGCATGCCGCCCGCTCCCCGATGCGGCCACGAGCCCGCCGCGCACCGCAGCGGCGCGGCCTCCTCCTCCTCCTCCTCCTCCTCCTCCACCGCCTCCTCCTCCTCCTCCTCCTCCTCCCTCCCTCCCTCCCTCCCTCCTCCCTCCCTCCCGTCCCTCCCTCCCTCCCTCCCTCCCTCCTCCTCGTCTGGAGGCGCGGCTGGCGCAGGGCCGAGCGCCAGTGCGGTGACGAATCGCCACCCTGCGGGCCCCCTATCCGCCGCCTCCGCGGCACCGCCGCCGCCCCCGCGGCTCCGCCGCGCGCCAGCGAGCCGAGCGGCGAGACTCTGGTCGAGCGTCGTGGCCTTGTCGCAGCCGCCTCGGCGGCCGCTCTGTCTCAGCCACGCGCAGAGGGGGGCAGGGGGAGTGGGAAAGTCTTATGAGAAGCACCCCTGCTTCTAAGAAGCCTTCCCCCCTTCCCCCTGCCCCCCTCTGTACGCCGCCAACTGTCTGGCGTGAGCCCCCCCCGCTGCCCTCGCCACCGCCGCGGCTGCACTAAGCCCGACCACCCGACCCCACCTGGAAGGACTTCGATCGCGGCGCTCAGCGCCGCGTCCCCCGCCGCTCTTGTACGCTCAAGTGGGGCACGTCCCTCCACAGGAGTAAGACTCAAAATTAGTCAACCAATTATCTGGGAGCGATTGTTCAATCCGCCTGCAGGAGGACATGCCCGACCTAACTCTACGCCCTCCCTGCTGAGCCAGTCCAGGACGATGGGTGTTTCGCACCTGACTGCTCAGTTCCGCCCATCTGCTCTTCAGCCGCCCGCCTGGAAAAATCGGGATGCTTGTTTCTGGCATTGCGTGGGAAAGTCACCGAGCGCGTTCCAGTACTCGCAAAGTGCCTGCTCTCAAACGCTCGAAAAACCACACGGCTGACTCGATAGAACGGATCGAACAGTTCCCGCAGCGGATCCAGGCCAGTTGCGAGCAGCTACTTTGCTGCGAGCAGTGGAAGTGCGAGTCGTGGAACGCGCTTCTTTGGAGAGGAACTCCCCAGCCTGGGCAGTCGAAGGCCAGCCGGTCAGGTTGGATTGAGGCGCCGGGGCCAATCCGGGGCCCATCTTCTTTCGTGTGTATGGTTTGCGGCCGTCTGGCTGTATGTTTTCATATTATTCCGTCGGGGCGAGCCAGACTGCATCACTTCGCAGATCGCCAGATTGGTTGCGTCGCCAGATTGGCCAGACTGTAGCGGGCGCCAGGTTGCACCAGATTGGGATCTCTGGAGGCGATGCTTTGCCCCCTCACCCCGTGGCGGGCGTTGGCCTCCCCGCTGCCTGCCCTGTGGGCCTCGTCGGCGCGCCTTCGCAGAAGGTCGGTGCCGCCTCTTCCTCGGGCCGCGCCCTGCCACTCGGCGCGCTCGCCGCGTCGGTTGGCGCCAGAGCCCCGAATCATCAGGGGTGATTCGGGTCAGGGCTAACTCGGGCTCGCTGTTCGGGATTCCGAACCCGAGTTACCCCGGGCCCCAGTTACCCCGGATAACTCGGGCGCCCAGAGCCCCGAATCGCCAGGGGTAACTCGGGTCAGGGCTAACTCGGGTTCGCTTTTCGGGAATCCAAACCCGCGTTACCCCGGGCCCGAGTTACCCCAGATAACTCGGGCACCCACGGCGCCGTCCGTCCGTGGCGCCGGCCCCGCGGGGCCCGGACTCACCGAGCGCGCTCTACGATCCGCACGGTGCCTGCCTGCAGACGTCTGGAGAACACGTATGTTCGCCTCGACGTGATGGATCGCGCATGCCCCGCGGCGGGTCCGGGCCATCTGCGAGCCGTTTCTCACCACCCACCAAACCACCCCAACCCAACCCGAAGGCCCCAATTTATCCTCGATTTCCAGTTGGGGGGGGTCGTGGAACATCGAGAAAACACATATGGAACCCGCCCGTACCCCTCCCAACCCGAAATTCGGGTCTTCGGGTTGGGTTGGGTTGGTCTGGTAGGTAGTCAGTTTCCCTTGCGAGCAGTGGAGCGCGCTTGTCTGTGGACCGCGCCCGCGGGCGGGACTGCCCGTGGCCCCCCCCCGCCCCAGGGCAGCATCCCGCGCCGTGCCTCTCTCGCCTGCGGGCAGCGGCCCGGGTGCCGAGCGGGCGGGGGGGGCGGGCACTCGGGCTGCCATTGGCTGACTCTGTCGGCACCGCGCCGCCCCCCCCCGCTTCTCCCGCGTATGTTCCTCCCGTCGTTCTCGCCTTTCCCCCCCGTCCCCCTCCCCCCTCCCTTCGAGAACTCCGCCTACCTCTCCTCCCCCCCCCCCCGCCCTCCTCCCCTCTCTTCTCCCCCGCCTCTCGCGTTCCTGCGCCCACAGAAGATCCTCGTCGCATCCACCAGCCGTGTCGATGGGGCGGACCGCTTCCTGCAGATACCTCATCATGATCCAGAGAGTAGGTTTACGTCGGGCCTGTCCCCCTACAGGGGGATTTTCGACGAAAAATAAAAGACACCCCCAAAATAGTCAAACAATAGTCCAAAAATAGTCTGGGGACTATGGTTTAAGTATGTTTTAACCTTTTTGGGGCATTTTGGGGGTATTGTTTTATTTTTCGTCGAACATCCCCCTGTAGGGGGACAGGCCCGACATAAGAGTAGGTGCACGGAGACGGGTCAGTTACGGATGTGGTGATCGCCGTATTGATGCGCGCATTGCTCTGAATCCGTTCCGACAGGGGCACGTACGGAGGGCGGATAGTTTTTTCAAGTGTGGTGTTCGCCGCATCACCTCGCACAGTCGCGTCCAAGCCACTACACGGCTGGCGGCTGGGTGGTTTTCACCGTGGGCGTATCGTTTCACTGTGGCGCGCATTAGTGTCACATTTGCAGCAACTCCACGACAGGAGGGCGTTTTTTTTTTCAGAGGGCTTCTCGCGTGAGCGCCGCACACATCTTCGTTCGACTTCAATGGCTCCAACACAACTGCGCGGGTGGAGCGCAGCGCCGCACGCCTCCGTGCTGAAGTCTCCAGCAGCCAGCCGGACGGATCACAGCTGGCTTTCACGAGGTGGTCGTCGCCGAAGCACGTGTATTTCAACAGCTTCACCCCTGCTCCACGGCTTGAAAGCGATTCCTTTTCATCATGTGGTTCCCGCTCGACGTTTTAAATGAAAAACCCACTAGCTACGCACGTTGAGGGTGGCAACCTTGCGACTTTGGGGGAGGGTTATATAGCTTGAAGTTTCAACAGTCACACGGATGGAGGGTGGCTCGTTTTGGTTTCTTCTCAAATTCGTGTTTTCGCCCTGATCCCGCGCATGTGCTTTCAACATCATACAAGATCATAGAAGTTGCATTGGTTCAGGGCGATGTTCCCGCAAGCTGTTTGTGTGTCTTCTTGTGCTTACGGCTGACTATGAGCATGTGTGCGTTGGTACGTGTTCAAGCGCAGTTCGGATTTTGATCGTCCAGGTCCATGGGGCCCTACCCCTTTCCAGGTGGAGCTCGCTGTAATAACGAGACATGCTTACATTGCTTTAGGGGGTGGGCCTGGCAATGGACGATTATCACAGCATCAGTGATGTGTGCTGGGGTTAGTCTGTTTTCCTCTCATTTCCCTCCCCCCACCCTCTCTTATTGCCTCCGCCATCTCCTTCATTCCACCCTCCCCTCCTCTCCACTCAGTCTCGCCCATCCCGTCTCCTTCCCTCCTCCCTCCTCCACGTCCCAGCATATCCCATGATATCCAATGGCCTCCCTCCCTCCCTCCCCGCTCTCGGTCTAGCCGCTCGCCCGCCTCCAGGGAGGACCGGATGCATGAAGTGCGGCTCCACTTTTCTCTCTGCGCTGTCCTTGCCTCCGCTCTTGTCGCGGCGAAGGCGTGGCCAGGCTGGAGGAGATGAAGCAGGCAGGGACCACCCTTGCCGGCGGAGCAGGAGGAGGATCCGAGGTCCCAGAACGGTCCGTCGAGCACATGGGCTGGCGAGATGGATGCCATTTTGGGACCTGGCATCGCTCGGACGTGTGCATTTTTCCTTCGGCGAGAACCATCGAGCGAGGATCATCCTTGATCATTTTACGAAAAAAAAAAAAACGCGCACGAAACCAAAAAAACACAGGGAATGGACGTCCGAGCGATGGCCAGTGGGAGAGGGGGCGGCTCCCTGGGAACCTGGCAGGTTCCCGAGCATGCGTCGACGGTGCTCGAGGCTGCCCGCGCTCCCCCCTGGAAGAGCTCTTGTCACAGGCGGCCCAGCGGGCCCCCCCACTAGACAGCGTGGCGCCGGCTGCCAGGCTGGCTGCGAAGCGCCAGCGTGGCGGCATCGGGTTGTGGCGGCCCCCTTTCCCGGCTCGGGCGGCGGCCGCGGTCAAGTCGGCATTCCGACTTCTTCGGGCAGTGCCAAGTGGGGTCACCAGTCAGTAGGGGGTCACCAGCAGTCGTAGAAGTGGTAGTAGTAGAGGTAGTAGTAGTGATAGTAGGAGCAGTAGTAGTAGTAGTAGTAGTAGTAGTAGTAGTAGTAGTAGTAGTAGTAGTAGTAGTAGTAGTCGTAGTCGTAGTCGTAGTCGTAGTCGTAGTCGCAGTCGTAGTCGTAGTCCTAGTAGTAGTA